GCCACGACTGGTTTGCCCCGTTGACGACATTTCAAAATATACGTCTTTTTATTTAAAGAAAAAAAGACTAATTTTGTTACACATCAAACAAATACAAATACATCCAAAAAAAAATTTAAGGTTGAAATAAATCTAATCTAGATGTAAATAAACATGTATATTCTAATGCGATGCAACATTAAGTGAAAATGTTAAAGAGATCATCCGTATTAGTTCCGCTAACAATTTTTGATGAATGGCTAGTCCCTACTTAATGGACGAAACAAATGATTCAAGCGACGAACCGAATGATGCTTGTGCGTCGTTGTTTCAAGTCGACTGAATTTACAATGTGATTAGGATAACCGCCAATGCCATTGGCGAGATGCTGAAAAACAGGAACTCATTTTGGAAATAAACACAAAATCATTGACTAACAAAGCGAACATGAATCAGGCCAAAGAAATGGTAAACATTAAGACGATTTTAAAACCATTTTTCAGAGCATCTTAATCGAAATTCGTTTCGATCTTCAGGCATCGATTCTTTATGCTATCATATTTTATGTTTCATAAAAAAGAGCATATTCTACACAAAAACTTCGAAGCTGCGGGAATTGATCAATACATCCGAAGAAGTCGGTTATTACCTGTGGTGCGAATGTCGTTAGATATTTTTCTCGAATTTAAATTGAATTTGTATTCATTTTTTTTATTCGAAGTCGTCGTCGCCATCGTTGTTATAAATTATAATATGCAAAATATCACGACTTTTGCATGGATGTTCCCAATTTTAATGGTAATTTATTAAAATGGTCTCCCGGTTTTCTTTGTGCATCTGATAAAACCGTATTCAATTCACGATTCCACCCAAGTCGAAAGCAAGAAAGAACAGTTGTGCAATGCCACAATGATCTAGCGTCAATTTGGTTTTTCTTTTTTTTCTCTGTCGTTTGCTTGTTGCTTGGGCTTTGTCAATAAATTCTTTGTGAAACATTTTGTATTTATTAGTTTCAACATCAACCTGAAACTGATGCTTCTATGTGTCACACACTCCTATGGAAATGGAAATATATGCACAGTGCACACACACACACACACACACCAAATACCATCAATATTAATGGTTTTTTATTAATGCGATGGTATTTTATTTGTTATTTCTGAGTGTAAATCATCGCACTGACGAAGAAAAATCCAATTTAAACTTTCAATAAGTCTTTGAGATGTGTGTGTGTGTGTGTTTGGCTTAACGATTGCCAATATTCTGTCGTTGTCTTTATTTCGTCTGCGGCAGCGCGAAGTGAAGAGGCTCATGCGCAGCGTTTAATTTTACCTTGAATCACTTTCAATAATATTGTTATTATTCAAGAAGAATATATAAATATATATTGGTTTGAAGCAGCATTCCAGCATGATGCTAAACTATATTGGCATTATGAGATGGCGATGCCAAGCACTTTGTATTCTGTCTCTGTATTGTAAAGTATTATGCAGCCTAATGAGAAGCAACAGCAAACACTACACCTTTCATTTTCTGTTGAAGAATTGGCAAAACAATCAAAACGGTGTGATTCATTGGTGTGGCTCATATTTGTGCCTATTCTTGAAGGCGAAGAGAAGGCAAATTGACATTTAATTCCAATGCAGTGAAACATAATCAAAGCATTGTGTGCACTCGCAACAAACAAATACATTGTCAAATCTAATTGAACGTTGCACAGATTCAATTTTATGCACGAGATTTCCTCGATTGATTAGTGATAAGCATAGAGAAAATGCTACCGAACGAAAGTTTTTCATCGTCGAAGTATGTATGCAAAATCAATAAAAATGGACTGAATCAACCATTTTCTGCATCACACTAGCAAAAGATCGCCAATCGCACTGAATAAATATTGAATTTGACTTTTTACTTTTTCACTTATCATGATCTGAATGCTTGCCTCGACGTTCGTTCGGGTGTGTTGACTCAAGCAATGTGTTTGTACGTACGTGAGCAAAATTTCTCGTAGCTCATACCATACCCGGCACTCATATCTATAAATATGAATTTCAATAGAAGAATTATGCAAAACGATCAGATCCAATGCGGACGGTTGTGAAATTAAAAATTCCCTTTGGAAAAACATGTGAAAAATGACAACGTGCACAATCAATTCAATGGCGGTGTTGTCGCTTGCCTACTTATATGTTTGCTTGTTTAACAAATCGTTTTTCATGTTTCTGTTGTATTTCTTGTACTCAATATTTTTTTTTTTGAACATTCATAAATTTTACCGCTTAAAAGTTAAATTTTATCTTTTGAACATAAAGCAAAAAGTTATTCCGCCGCATTTAAGAATTGAAAAAGAAGGAATCCATTTTTTCAGAGATGGAATTAATCTAAATATGGTGTTGAATGGTGATGGTGGTAGAAGTTCATGAGCAAAAGTGTGAAAAACCAATGAAATATATTTGTTTGGTTTTGAATTCAATGAAAAAAAAAACGATGGTAAAAATCACATTGAAATCCATAAGAAGATCACGTGAAAAATAATATATTTTTCATTTGCATTGAAATAGAAACTGGTTGAGGTTTAGTTAGAGTGGGTCATAAAACCTGGTGAAATGTTAATTGTGGAAGAAGAGAAGCGTCATGTGATTTGTGAGCGTACTAAAAGTCAGGAAACATATCATCTCACTCTGGGTCTTCCCAAGTGGAAATCATTGAAATAAGAAACCAGCCGTAGGAGAAAAATGTCGAAAATTATTTCGCATTCAGCTGTTTGTGGCGAACAGAAGAGACACAGGTGCAGTGCAAAAGAAAAAAGACACACACTGAAACCGACATCCGTCTGCAATGGGTGACTTCGTTTGCCATCATTTGTCGATTTGCAACCATGGTGAATGTGGTAAAACGACATAAATTTTTGCCATAACAAATGCCATCGAGTAGGTTAAATGGGAGTTTTTGTCCCAAATAAAAATGCTACGTATTCTCGTTACAATGAAAGTGAAGTCGTCCTTTTTTTTACTTACTTTACGAACAGAGAGAGAAAAATGAGCGGAGGCGAAAGTCACGTTGGTTTATACGCAAAGCGATCTCTTCATTAAACGTGAAGATCGCTTGCACTCTCCCAGTACAAACCCGGTTCAGTGTGTTATATCACGTTGAAACAACGATTAAGAAATTAAAGCGAATCGAAAAACAACTGTATTAAACGAAACCGTTGAAGTTTTATGGCCTGGCGTTGCGTTGTGTTAAGGAAAGTTGTAATTCGCATCCATCCACTTGCATTTGTTTCACTTTTTGATAAATGCGATATCATTTCAATTTCACACTGGAAGAAAGAAGTCGTATCATTTTGTGTTCGACAACTCTCGTTGCACTGTTTACGGTCATGAGCGGTGTGTGTGTGTGTGTGTGCACTGTGCAGCTCTATCATCGAACGATATTAGCATATCTTCAGTATCGCGTTACACTTCTTCGGAGCCGAGTAAGAATGGCGGCTGAAGCATTTTTCTGGCAACTGGTTTGTTTTTTACGGGGCATGATTCGGAACAGACGCACTCTTTACTCATTTTTTATTTATATTTTATTTTTCTGTAATCAATACATTGGAGCAAAATGATAAACACTTTCGCGTTCGCATACAAATAAAGGAAAAACTGGCTGAAATGTAGACATTTATTGTGCTGTTTGCAGAAGCTGTTTTACACAACTCAAAAACATGTCGATGAGCAAAGAAAGGAAAACCGTAAAAGAAATTTTTCGAAAGTTTAAAACAACGCATTGCTTACATTTTTGCGCTGAATGGCAATTGCTGACACCGTCCAGATATTGAAAATGTTATCACTTATCGATTTTTAATGCAGAAGAAAAGAAGAAGAAAAAAGTTATTAAAGATGCACTGCAAACAACTCGGCAATAAATAATCAATTTAAGTGCGTCGTCCATTAAACGACCTGTTCACCGTACGCATGGTTTGAAATTATCGGTGGAAATTATTAATTTTTATGATCTTTTCCGTCAGCGCTTGTTAAATATACTCCAACAATTTGTCTGTGTTGTTGTTTTTTTGTTTGCTTCGCAGAATTCCCTTCTCCACTTGGCCCATTTCATTGGGCATAATTTTTAAATTGAAAATAGATATCAGATAGATATATTTGGAATAACCGAAAAAATTAAATGCGAATAGAAACAAATGATTAAATAATAACATTGGGCGAATGAGCTGCATTCAATGAATTTGAATTTGCATAATTGCTCAATCACACTATCGAATAATGTGAGCAGAGTGCGCGATTTATATGATTTGAGATCATTCGGAAGGCAGAAAAGAAAAAAAAATGATTTATGCGATATTTAACCTACATAAATTCATTCATTTTGTATGATCTTGCATGTTGGTGTTTCAGTAGCACTCCAATAAAACTCGTTGGAGTCAGAGAGAAGCTAACAAGACGAGGCGGCAGACGATATAGAAATTGAATGAAACAACAAGAAAAAAAAATTAAAAATTCATTAAGCGCAACCGACCGACATTTTGTGCTTTCGCTGCTGTTGTGATAACACTTTTTCGCATTCAAACTTTCAATCATTTTGCGCAATGCCAAAAAAATCGATTGATTTTTTCTTCTTCTTCTTTTGTTGATAATTCCGCATTTTCGTGGTGGAATTAGTGGAAATGTCGATGAGCGTAACATATTCAGGCCGTTACTTATCATGCAGCCGAATAAAAAATAAGTTTGACTGATGATCATGTAACCAATATGCTCACCCAATGAGCTCTGCCCACTTCGATGAATCGATTCGGTTACCTATTCATATTTAAAGTTAATGAATATTAAGCGAACGCAATTAAGCACGCAATTTTTGATATAGTGAAATGGTTGGTTGTAACACTTCCTCTGATGCATGGCTATTGGCCACAGGATTATATGGACACTTTCATTTTAATATTCTCTTCAAGAGGTAATTTATAATGTATTTCCTAATATTCTAAATTGTTTAAAGAATTATTTCCAAAAAAAAATTACCTTTTTAGTTAATTCCACCGATAAAATCAGGTTAAAATCAATTGATTGGCGTAGCACAAGAATATGTGTTAATAGATGATCAACTGAAATGTCACACTTAGTCCGGTCAGGCGGTGAAATGTTGATAATGTGATAAAAACGAGTTATTTTTTTCTCTGTGGATTCAGATGAGTTTGTTTTTTGTTTCTTCGATCGCAGAATTTGTCCACACACACTAATAAATCCTTTCACTTTTTTTTTGTTACTGTCAACTTGCTAATTTTCTGGAATTCAAATCGTTGATCATGTGAATTGTTTTATATTTCCACTTTGGAGTCAATGCTGTTGTATCATTACAATGGCCTTCGAAAACGCCACTTCCACTAAATCAATCGTCACAAAATACGGATAAATTCCAAAAATTTGCATTCAATTGATTGTCACAGAAACGGAACGAAAAACAAAAATGTCCACAAATGTTCAGCAAGATGAAGTTGTCCTTGTTGTGATTGTAAATTGAAATATAAGCTTGAAAATCGAATAAATCAAGTCCTTTCACAGAGTGTGGCGGAAGTGGTAGGTTGCTTGCGCAAACGTATTGAATTTAACGAATTTTCATATAAGTCAATTTGAAATGGAAACAAAATTGAAATCGTTAACAGCAGATTCAATCAACACCTGAACACAAGCGAGTTCAAAACTCAACTGACTCAAGTCAACGATAATGAGCGCCGCTTGAGTCCGTTCACAGCGCAACGTTGACGCGATCGCGCATTCTACCTGTGTGTATGTGTGTTTACATTTTGAATTTTGACGGCACACCGCACACAACAGGTCGATTGCTACACACCGGAGTGAAATATGCCGGATGGTGCTTGTACTTGTATGCGTATGTGTGTGAATGATGAACCACAGCAGCATATCGACGATGCATCAATGTTTATATGGATCGTCTTGATCACAAGCAGGTATGTGTTAATGGTGCGTGCGATGTTCACCTTTGCATTCAGACAACATTCAATGCACTTTGAAATTTCTTCATCGTCTTCGTCTTCCATTCCGTGTGATGAGAGATGAAACATAAATTTATACTTATCGAATCGCTTGGCAAGCATACTCAAATGCCCGACTCTCCGTTGAATTATTATTGTTTGGTATGGTCTGGAATCGGAATTGAACTGTGAACGCAACAACAGACCAAAAATCATTATGCATACCAAATAATATGCGGCCAATGTGTTATTATATTGTTGGTTATTCGTTTTGGTGTTGTTTCACGTGTTGCTCGCAGCCTATTCGCTGCGTCCAGTGCAGGTATTCTATTTTCTTTTGCATAAAAACCCCTCGATCTTATTCATGCAGACGATGAATGTGCAGGAAAAAAAAACAAGCGCATCCGATATTCATCACCCTACATAAAAAATTTGGTCTCGCCTTGGATTAACATTCAATTTTATACGTGTGCACATCGTATGACTCATCTACGCAACCGTCTTCAGATATCGTGACCGTCTGATTCGCTTCGATACAGTTTTTTGCATCCTGTGTGTTCTGTGTACTTCGCTCCCTATTCTGTCTTCTTTTTTTCTCTCTTTTCTGCTTTCTTTGTAATAAATTTCTTATGAACTACTAATTAGTATCATTACTTTTTTACAAACCAAAAGAGGGACCTTTTGTAGTAGTGTGAGTAAGTTAAGTTAAGAAACGTAAAATAAACAACAAGTCTGTAAATACAAATTAAATCATTTAGAATGAGATACGCACTTTTAGTGCTCTAGAAAAACGTTCGAGCCAATTTTTACATACATTTGGGCGCTGTTGCGTATGTATGCATCAAGCTAGCAGAAAAAATGCCTCTTTCCATGAAATGGAATGATTTGTCGATATTCCTTTATGATTTGATGGTCATTCATGGAATTTTCTGATTTTCTCTGTATTCATATTCGCATAAAATCGTTGAAGTTGAATGAAACAATTTAAGTTTTTTCCAAATTCCGTGTAATTCGTCGTAATTTCTTAGCTTATTGTTTAATAACAAGTAAGATTGATTTCTATCAAATAAACTGTTGACTTTTGCTGCTTTATTGCAAAATATTCCGTTGTTTTTTTCTTTCCATATTTTTTATTTCCTCTAAATAAACAAAAATATTAATCTTCTTTTGTTAGGAAATAAAACAGAAATTGAAATCTACTAAAATTTACACGTGGCGACATCATTCTGTCAGTGTGCGGAGCCGTAACCATTTGCTAATCAGCGAGTACTGACATTTCATGTGACACACTGCCTTTCACAGAGCATTGCAAAACACATGTGCTACAAAACAAACTCCGCGTGAAGTGTACATTAATTTTCGTTTTTTTTTCTTTAGATTTAGCTTGAAACAGAATGCAAATGAAAATGGATAAAAAACTGTTGCAAAAGTTTGACAAGCAGCAAGTTCGTCGAATACTGGAATTTGAAAATGAATTCATTTCAACATTATTCGACAGCTTCGAAGTGCCAGATTCTATTGAAGGTAAATGAAATCGTAAACTTCTACGGCGAAACCATTGAATTTGTAATATTTTCCGCAGATAAAACAATCGATGATCAATACCTATTGAAAACGATGGAAAAAGTTGGTAAACTCAAACCGAATGCACGCAAATCAAAGAAATCAACGGAAGATGGTCAGTCGTCGGTGGACCTAGAACAGCGTTTAGAAATCATTCGTAATAAAATGCAAAGTAAAAAGACCAAACCATCGGCCCGAGCCATCGAAAAGAAGAGGCAAAAGAAGCTAAAGAAATCGAAGGAACTGAAGAAAAAATTGATCAGCGTGGCGAAATCCATTAAAAATGAAAAAATCAAAGAGGGAAAGAGTGCAAACACCTCATTTGCTGAGGCGGACAGCAACGGAGTTGATGTGAAGCCAGACATCAAACCGGACATCAAACCAGCTAAAGTGTTTAATGAAGAGGGAAAAATGGTGTTTTCAAAGTTTGAGTTTGCAGCACAGGCCAGCAGAGCCAAGAAAACGAAGAAAGATAGTAAGAGCTAAAGAATTTGTTCGAAGTTTTCTCGTTATTCATCAAAACGATTCGATTCATTTCAGAAACAATCAAAGATCCGAAGCTACTGTTGAAGAAACTGAAAAAGGAGAAGGAACAAATCAATGAGTTGGTGTTACAAGGTGAGGTGGATAAGGCTGAGGAATTGAAGAAAAGCATTGCCTGGCAGAAGGCATTTGACAAAACCGAAGGAAAAAAGGTATGGAAATCATTCAACAATTTTTATTTGCAAAAGATTCAAACCACTATATGATATCAATTCATTTGTCTCCTCAGGTGAAAGACAATGTCAGCCTGCTGCACAAGACACTCCACCGAAAGAAAGTGGACAAAAAGAAGTCGAAAGAACAGTGGAAGGAACGTGAAAAGAAACTGGAAGAGAAGAAAGAAGGCAAGGCGAAGAAACGTGAAGAGAATATCAACAAAAAGAAAGACGAAAAGAAGAAGCACAAGTTGAAAAAGGCGGCCAAACGTGGACGCATCATAGCTGGTTACTAGAGGAAAATAAACTTTTTGTTGTTTTACAATCAAAATTTAAACTAATTTCTACAATACGTTCGAATGAAATATCGCATTTATTAATTTTGTACATGCTGTCAATGGGAGCACAGACACACACCAAAGTGTCGCCAGTTCGCATGACTGAATTCAATAAATTTTATATTTTAATTACACAACCCGGGCGTGTTTTCATTCGGAAATAAAAAGGCCGATGTTTTTTTTTTTTAAATAGTTTATGGCTAAAATGTTTTATTGATAGAGAATCACTTAGATTGGTGATTTATTGCTTTTTTATATAATGCTTTGCACAACATTCAACATCAACAACTACTGCTACAGTATAGTTTTAAATAGATATAAGACATTCATAAAATAAATGCTCAAATGGAAATTTGTTGTAATTTAAGTGTATATGAAGAAAATATTTTTAAGTTTGTTTTTCTTGTCACAAAAATAGCAGCGTTAGCAATCGGAAGCATTACAATCTCACAGTTTCATCATAAACGTATGTATCTCATTCGAAGTGAATATAGAAGAAAGATTTCAAATTGGTGTCTTCAACATTCAACTTAATTTCTAATCAAATAGTCAAACTTAAGCGATTTAATCCACACTTGGCCAAGAAAAATGCAGGAACATTGTATTCGATGTTCTCAAATGAGTTGACATTTAAAAAAAAGGGGGGGGAGGGGTGATTGATTTATTTCAGAAATGATTTCATTTGCTTGGTTTGGTGTCCCATGGAGTATTGAGCGTTTTCAGTTTTTGTTAACAATGCATCAAGTTTATCCATGCCACTGGACATCTTTTGCTGCAAATCCGGTTGTGCGGGAGTCGGTGCAGATCCGTCTGAAGCTACATTTGCAGATTGGCTGCTTGTTTCAGCATTAGACTCACCTTCATCACCTGTTGCATCGGATCCTTCAGCGCCATCACCTCCTTTTATCTTCAATAAATTTGTCAAACTACCACACGCTTTCTAAAAATAAATATCCAAGTAAATCCAACTGAATAAACATTGTCCCCATTTTGCCTGCAATTAATTCCAAGAGACTAGCTCTCTCTCTCTCTCTCTCTCTCTCTCACCTTGAACTTGTTGAGTCGCATTTGAGTGATGGATAAAATATTTGTTATCTCATCCATTTTACTAGTACCCTCATTTGTTCTCTCATTTTGAATATCAATTTCCTGCAAAAATTTACAGAGTTGATAATTTGAATCGTTTTAATTTTTTAGAGAAATTTCAAATAAAATTATTAATTTCATTATACTGTCAATTCTTCAGCCTGTTTATTCTCTCTGCGTACACGTTCCGCCTCTTCCCAGTCAACTCGATTTGGTGGATCGATTCCGAGCAATTCAGCTCGATTGCACTCATACTCATAGGTTCCTTCAGCCATTGTGCTTACGCCCTGCAATTAATCGAAAAAAAAAGTCCATCGTTAAAGCGTTCATTTGAAAAAGCAAGCTCAACATTGGCCAAATAATTTTTATCCCATATTTGTTCTCACCGGTGTGCGAGATTGCTGTCTTTCCCGTTTCGAATCACTTACGTTTTAAAAAAAATTCCGTGCCCAAACCCTTTGCTTCGTCTACGTTAAATGTTCTTTGTAAATTATCTGCAGTATTTCTACTGCAGGAGACTGAATGTCAATGGAAGTTTTGTATGTAAATAACGTTTTTCGCGCATGACGTTTCATTCTAAATGCGTATTTATTGCTAGAACAATATTTTTTAAATCGCATTGGTGCAAGTGAGTGTATTGGACATTGCCGATGATATAGCCAAAATTCACACGGAATATGATGAGCTGTGGAAAAAATGTAAAAAATATGAAAAAAAGACAAATCTCAACTCGAAATATGAATTTCAAATCGTTTGACTTGTAAAAATAGAGAATCTCCAATGAAAAAAAACAACATTCCCAGGATTTTGGACAGTTTGCGCCTCTGTTGGTCGCATACGCAACCAATTTCCGTTGATTTCAATTTTGACATATGTCAAAATCATAAATGATTGTTTGTATTGGAATCTCTTTAGCCAAACACATATCCTAACACATTGTTGTTTACAAAATTAAATATTCAACAATTTTCATCGGTACCATTTGACCTTAGCAGATCGGTGGTCGGCAGTTTTTTCTTTAAACGCTTTTATTTTTCTTAAATCCGATTTTTTTTTAGTTGAAAAGAAGTTAAAATGTCATGTTGTATTGTTGGATGTTCGAACGAAGGTGCGTCTGCTTCAAAAGAGACCACCTATCACTTGTTTCCACATCCGACGAAAGGTTTGTAGTGAACTAAGTTGAATTTAATGATAATTTCTAATTGCATGGCTCTGAATATTTCAGACGTGAGCAGATTTCAGAAATGGCTTGAAGCTTGTAAAAATCCTCGTATCCAGAAAATGGATCCGATGTCCGTGCATAAGAGATATCGTATTTGTCGTCGTCATTTCGATCAAGATTGTTTGAATGGAGGATGTCGCCGGCTTCTTAACACTGCTGTGCCTACACTTCATCTTGAGACATCAACAAAGACGACTATCAAATCGGATGAAAGCCATGAATTAGCTCCCACGGCTGGAATCATTTATGTACCTGTAGCCGTAGATAACACGGAAGAACACTTTGAACTAGTGTTAACTGAAAATGATCCTCTGGTTGACGAAAACAACTTAAAAGGTAAATAAAATTGGAAAATTCATTGCATAAAATATTTTGTATTTCATCGTCATTTTAAATATTTTCGTGAAACTTTTCTTCTAGTTCTAAATGCAAGCATGCATTCGCCACCCAACAAAAGAAAATCGAAAGAAATTAATTTATCGAAATGTGGCGGTGATAAATATGGTTATTTGAAGGAAATTCACACTAAACACAAGATTAAAAGACAAAAAACTGACGTTGACGAAACAGAAGGTGAGTGTGTGTGTGTGTGTGTGTGTGTGTGTAACAAAAATACATTCGAATTGAGAGCTAATTGTCGAAAATTCCATTTTCAGAAAACATTCAAGACATTTCCCACGAGAGTATCAAACAGAACGAGTTGCATGAGTTAGAATTGCAAGAAGTACAATATGAGCTACTGGATGTGGAAGACGATAAATATTACAAAGGTAATTCAATTCCTCTTTTTCTCCGTAATTTTCAAGTTTCGGCATAAATATCAACGTTCAAAACGCTTAGAAACGTCAACATGACTGGACTTAATGCATTTTGATTACAAAACCATACGCGTTGCGTTGGCATGCGTTATGTAACGCATTGTCAATGTGTAACGACGATGACTTTTCGTTTCTGCAGAGTGAAACGAGTGTGCAATAAGAAACAAGGCGATTGTTCCAACTTAGTGCTAGAGCGAGACAGCTCCATGATGCGTGCATAGCCGCAAAGAAAATATAAATAAAAAAAAATTTGTACGCAAGAGCCATAAGAGAAACAAAACAGATGACATTTCATCATTCGTACATTCACGCTAACTGTGCACAGTCGCCCATATTCGATTCTTGTTTATTTCATTTTCATTCTGTCTGCAAACGGAATCTACACGTCGAATCCCATTTCGATTAGTTTGTTTTAAAAAAGACATCGCTTATTTTTCGAGTGTACGGTTCGTTGTTTGATTATCACTAGGGCCAACAGCCGTTTTATTTCCCTATTTATTGGTTGATTTCGTGTGACTCCAATATCGCTTTTCATCGTTGTTATTTGTGTGTTTTTCCCTAAATTCGTTCGTTCAAAGGATAGAGAGAGAGAGAGAGAGAGAGAGAGAGAAAGAGCGAACAAAAAGCGATACGAGTTTGCTTACTTCTGTGTCGCGCGAGAAAGTAAAAGTAGTCGTCTCCAGACGAAGTGTTAAAAATTATATGCAACAAATTGGAACGATAGTTACAAGAGTTGCAACCAGAAAAATGAGTTCAGGTAATCAAATGGCTTCTTTATAGTTCTTAAAAAATTTTCCACAAATTTACAGCTAACAAAACTGTTTCTTTGTGGTCCCGATACATACATTTCGTATATTATTATTTCGAATAGAGAAAAAAAACCAGAACGGAGAAAGTGAAGTTGAACCAAATTCGGAAAAAAATTTCTATTTCGAAACGCCAAATGTTTTTTTTTTCAACTCAACTCTAAGCGTTTTGACGAGAGACACAAAAGAAACGCCTCGTTCATTTTCAGTTCAATTTACATGTTACAAAGTCAACGCGTATTCGGCCGCACGAAAGGAAGAGAAAAAAAATCGTTTTGAAATCAATATAATTCTTATGACGCTGTGAAATGAACGGAATACGAAAATTTTGTTTGTTCCATCGTTTTGTGTGCGTTGCGTTGAGAGTAAGAGAGAGAGAGGGAGAATGAAAGAGTTTATTGTGTATCATATTCAGAGTTAAGTTGCAACGCTGATTATTCACAAATCTGGGTAGGCGTTCCGTGTGCATCAACACACTGTATGCACAATACCAATTTAGAGAAATTAAAAGCGATGAAATTTAATCGCCTTTACGTTGTTGCTTTTGCTACGTTCCGTTTATCTTCACTTCATTCTTCATCTCTTTTCTTTCCGAATGCATATTCACTTTCGCGACTTAACATCGAATTTGAATATTTCAATGCGGCACTAGTTTTTCACTGTGTAAAAAATAAAATAAAAATCACAACAAATGAAAGGTGTTATCAATATGGGAGTGTCCCGTTATCGGTAGTCAAAACATTTTTAACATGAAAATTATTCATTGTGTGCCAGCGATCCATTAGTTATTATCAGAGTGACATTGAATTTTCATTCGACTCTTTGTTGTACTTCACATTTCTACTAGAAAAAAAAGAGAAGAACTTATTGTAATTGAAATTGTTCTGTTGGCCGATTGTTTTGTAATTGATTCTTTGGTGTGTGTGGGAACACAAAATATGGTACCATATCAAAGTATCAAGTTCATTTCATAATACAGAGAAAATGAAAACAGTGTAATTCCACTAAAAAAAACACGAACGCATGTTTTAAACACTGACTAATCCACACGGGTGTACAAAGTAAACAGCCGTTATTCCGTTCCGTTTGTGCTCGAATGACATCACTGACGATGCAGTTTCGTGCTCTCGACTTAGTTTATAATTTCACTTTATGTGCGCGCTTATTATTGCTATCGTTTTCGAATTCACTTAGTGCATTTATCACAGCCAAGCAAACACAATTAATAACCAAGTGATTTGAGATAAACGTTTTCTTTATTTCATAATTTGTAATTTAAAAAAAAAGTACAACATTTTTGTTGCTTGTAATCGTTTACTTTCGATCTCTTATTTTGGATTCGCCGTATTTATATAATCACATTTCGCGGCAAACATAAAAACCACATCACTTCTCTTATCCTCTATACTCGTGTTTCATGTTCAATACACCAGTGTTTCAGCTGAATAGACTGTTGTTTAACACAATGTTATTTTTGTTTTATTTTTGTTGGTTCCCCATTTACAGTTCCATTGACTGACGAGACGTTTCGAAAATGGCGTAAGGATTTCTACAAATGTGAGAAGAATGTGCTAGCACAAAATGTGTGCTCTCGCATCGATCCATTTGAAGCGGCATTATCACGTAAGGTTCTGGAAAACACTCAACACGTTTTCACTTACAAAGTGGAATCGGAAGGTAAACCGTTGACCAATCAAAAGAATTCCGGACGCTGTTGGTTGTTTGCCGCATTGAACAGCATTCGAATCCCGTTCATGAAGAATGTAAGTGAAAATTAATAGAAAAAAAACAGTATCACCGATCTTTTTTTTCGTATCTGGAGCATAACAATGAAATTCTCTTTTCGCAGTACAATCTGGATGAATTTGAATTTTCGCAAACCTACCTCTTCTACTGGGATAAAATTGAACGATGCCATTACTTTTTGAACAATATCATTGAAACGGCTGCCAAAGGCGAAGAGGTCACTGGCCGATTGGTTTCATTCCTGTTGAATGTGAGTAAAAATGAAGTCATCCTTGTTGAAATGTTTCATTATGCAAAATGTTTGACGTTTTTCCATTAGGATCCAACATGTGATGGTGGGCAATGGGATATGTTTGTTAATTTGATCAAGAAGCATGGTCTCATGCCGAAGAAATGCTACCCAGAAACATACTGTTCGGAGGCCTCAGTGCGTATGAATGCCATTTTGAAAAGTAAACTGCGTGAATATGCTAAGATTTTGCGTGATTTGGTTGCGGCTGGCAGCTCTGAGGATGATGTACGAGCAAAGCTCAACGAACAAATGGGCGAAATTTATCGAATCGTTGGCATTTGCTTGGGCATTCCAGATGAAACATTCACATGGGAATACTATGATAAGAGCAAAAGCTATCACTGTATCAAAGCAATCCGACCGATTGATTTTTATGAAAAATACGTGAAACCATACTTTGATGTTGACGATAAAGTGTGCATTGTTACCGATCCACGTCCATCAAACACCTATGGTCAGGCATATACCGTCGAATATCTGGGCAATATGGTTGGCGGACGACCCGTTCTGTACAACAATCAACCGGTGGAATTGCTCATGGAATTGGTTGCCAATTCGCTCAAAAACACCGAACCCGTTTGGTTTGGTTGTGAAGTGAGCAAACGGTATGTCAAACGTCCATTCTTAGTTTTTAGAAAATACATGAAATTTCTATATGTAACGAAATGGGAACTTTTTTCTATAAAGGTTTGCAGCAAAGCAAGGAATTGAAGATTTAACTGTGCACGACTTTAAACTGCTGTTCGGTGTTGACATCCAGATAACACTATCGAAGGCCGATCGAATGATCTATGGCGAATCAATGATGACACACGCGATGACATTCACCGCTGTATCATGTGGCGTAAGTTGATAGCGCAAAATTTTCTTCGTCAATTGATATATAATTATAAAATTCATTTTCTTTTCACAGGAGGATGGAAAAGCTACAAAATTCCGCGTCGAAAATTCTTGGGGTAAATCGAATTGAATCTCACTTGTGTAAACTGTGAAAAGTCTAATGGAATGTTGTGTGATTTTTGTAGGTGAGGATCGAGGTGAGAAAGGCTACCTGATAATGTCGTCCGAATGGTTCAAGGAATTCGTGTTCGAAATTGTCGTCGATAAGAGCATCGTACCAAAGGATGTGTTAGATGTATTCGGTCAAACACCAATAGTTCTTCCGGCATGGGATCCAATGGGAACTCTAGCCAACAATTCTTAAGTGGATTACGCAATTTATGATTTTAATTTTTTATTTGTATTTCCGTTCAATTTCTTTTCTAACGTGTTAATAATATACATAATAAGCAGTAACTGTGACAGTGTATAGATGTGAGTGCATGCACCGCAAATATTCCAGCAGAAATGCTTCCTCACAACAACGTATGAAGATGAAAAACGCAAAACTAATACCATATACAAACATATTCTTTTTATAGAGATTTCGATATTTTCCAAAACAATTCAACCACTTTGTTTCTGCGTAGACTTTCATTTTTTTTTCTTAGTTGATAAAGTCATTAAACTGGAGTGTGAAGTGTGAAAAAAAACACAAAATGGAAAAAAAAATCATGCCATCTTAAATATTTCTGATGAATAAAAATTCCTGGTAAATTCCTATATGATTCAGTTGAGTTTACTTTAAAAACAAAGAGATGCATTGACGCTGGTTGGTTTACGACAATTCGAGAGTTGAACGTAGGCATAGTCAGGCGTTGTGATTTTAGACGAGTATCATTACGCTGTGATGCGATAAGACACAAAGGAGATATTCATAAAAACATTCATTTGGAAAAGGGAAACCATTGCGAGACGGTAGAAAAAAAAATGTGCAGTGAGCATTGAGCATCTACTTTATGGACAAAATTTTCACCACAATTGTTGGATTCACTGGAGTAGGCCTATTTGCAAACTATGCATTCCCCCATAAAAGAAAAACATTGGACCCGGATTCATGACGGTAAGTGAAAACACTGCGGCGGAAAATATGTGAATGAGAAATCATTTGCAAGTGTTTTGCGTACGAGCGATGCTTGCGGATTCACTGAGCAAAATATTACCATTCTTACAGAAAAAACGGGGAGATAAATAACAGTTGATTATCTTCAGCTCTATTATTCACACAGTAATTATTTTCCCTTCGTGCACAATACGAATTTTCAACTAAAAAGCTAAACAAATACACGGCAAACAAAATCCAGCCCAGCTTTAGATCCATAACACTCTTTGTATATATTCTCTGTGTCCATTGTGGCTTGATTGAGTGAATACAGTTTTTGTTACAGTTTTATTCCTCATTTCCTCTTATCATGATTCTGTTGACTCTCTCGAATCACTCTTGATGTATATGAGATAAATGGAAGCGGAAGCATTTATGGAAGCTGGCACTTTTTCAATTCAATTGCCAATGCAAACGTTTCGACAAAAACGGCAAATTAAGTTTCATGTTATTCATCGCAACCGTTTGCTCAGTATAACGTTTTAGAAAAACAACCGCAGCAACAACGGAAAAATGCACCGAGAAAATGGATTAGCAACCGTGAAAGATAAAAATCGAATAATAAGAAAAACGTTGCGATCCAACCCTGGCTCAATTGATGTATATATAAACACTTGAAGCCGATTCCGAGAGATGCGAGCATAAAGTGAGATAAATATATTTGCCGGTAAAACACGTTTAACAAAGCATTGAAATATTCATTCCCATGGCAATCGCACACCAATACTGTGTTACCTACACACGCACTCATTCATTTTGCCAGTAACATTGCCCGTTCAGCCGTATAAACTGTGTAAACGGCAACGGTGAAATGCGATATATTCAAGACTGGTTACATTGAAAGCATATCAGCTGGACGTCTATGTATTAATTCAAAACATTCCATAACAAACACAATTTCACTCAGACAAGTACTTGCATTGACGAATCAGTTCATACGCACACGAACACTGAGACACACACACACTGAGACACACTCCCAACCGTTCGAAACGAAATTCTCTGTGTAATTCTCCGAAACTGTTATAAACACAGTCTACTCCACATACCAAACATATATATATATATATATATATATGTCTATACACCGACGAATGCAACGATATACACCAAGAATTGGATGATATGCATGTGACGGCATAAACACAGCAGGAGTGAGCGAGTGCGAGAGGGCGAACGAGTGAGAGATTTTTGAAATAAGTAAGCGCCAGCCTCGAATACATGCACATCACCAAGGCAATACACTGACATGTTGTGTTTAACCTAGACAAATATTAGACCGTGTGATTTCGTATGATTCCGAATCGTCCGTAGTTTAGTTGAAGTGGAAACGTCGTCGTGCTAGGGTGTGTTTCGCATAACTTTTTATTTTCGAAATCACACATCGTTAACATTCATTCACAGACGTTTTTGTGTGATTTTAAAAAACATCGAAGTGTTGACGTTTCGTATTCGAACAAACTCTTTTTATTTCCATACATCGAATACAAAACTCTTAGTTTTTCATTTCGAATCAAGTGCAAAATCGGTTTTATTATGCTTTTAGTTTATTTTTTTGTTTTATTCAAATAATTTTGACTATGTTTGAGTGTAATAATTCGACGAAATTTACCAAATAAGGCCTCGCTTATCGCAATCTACGCGTAGTTTATTCTCTTTTTTTTCGTTTATAAATAAAAAAAATTATTATTATCCGCAATAAAAACCAAACGAATGAGCAGCTTGAATACTAACGCACCAATGATTACGATGTGTGCTTAATTTTTTTTTCCTTTATTCAACTGTGTGTTAATTTTGGTGAAACGATTGAACAAAAAACAAAATTTCTTGAGAAAATCTCACTCGTTTAAATTTCATGACGATACAATTACGCGAAGCGACGAGTTCGAATAGAATAATTCAATTGCGAATTGGACGGACAAAAGAACAAAATAACAATTTTGATTAACATTAGAATAAATTTTCACAAATACATTTGCTCATTTCACGATTGAGTGTTGATTGCACACACTCACGGTTTGTTGTTCAGTTGTTATTTTTTTTCTGCTGCGCCAGCCTTCACACAAAACAATTCAAGCGAATTGGCATCGAGTCGGCTATGCAAAATAAAAAAGAGCAATACACTCAAATTCATTACGTGTATCAAAAACTATCGTACAACAAAATCGTAATAAATTCAGTTGAGATAGCGGTCGAGTGAGTAGCAGCTATTCAATAGAACATCGAAACGACAGCGATCACGACGCCAACAACAGCAGCAACAACAAAAAATATAATTATTTATACACGAAAAAAAAGAGCACAACGGCGAATTTATAGCAACGACGTGCATGCTTCCAACATATGAAGAGAAAGAGTGAACAGGAGAGATAGAGACGACACACATGTGAGTATTTTATTTTAGAATGCCCGACACTTTATGTATTTTTATCTATTTTGCACAATTTCGTCGGTCGAAAATTTCATAAAATCACTTCGAGTGTGAGTATGTTGTGTGTATGTGATTGAAACAAAAATAGGAACATAGGCTCTCTCGCGCGCGCACACCGATGAATTGGCGAGCCGATGAATTATTATTGTAACCGTTTCAATTGATGGAACGATTTCGAGCATTTCAAGCCGTCTGAGTATTTTGGCTGGCGAGAAATTTTTTTTTCTCCATTCAGATGAAAAGAGAGGGAGCAAGAGACAAGAGGCAATTTGGTGATGTTAAATTGTGAAATTTGGACGTTCATTTACGACAAAGCGGCACCACAACCATGTCGAGCACTCGAGCTCTTGACATCGATGAAAGAAAGTATGGCAAAGATGGCAAAAATTCAAGACTGAACATAAAGCTAAACAGAAAAAAAAAGAAATAAGCGAAACCGAAACGAACGAACGAAGAAAGAACAACAATGTCCAAATCTACCTGTCATTTAATGCAAAGGCTTTGCATGTATTTCCCATTCGATTTGCACGCAAACACCAATGCACACACACACTCACAAAACACAGACACACATACAAACGAAATGGCGATTTAAACATGACGATCTATCCAGTGCGGCGGTTGTTGTTGTTGTTCTCTTTTTTTCTCTGTTGTTTTTTTATTCATGACATACACTGGATTCACTAAAGTTTCTAGATAGCAAATTCTACCAATGTATAAACATTCTTCCGTGAATCATTCGATTTGAGTTGGCTGTGTGTTTCTCTGAGTTTTTCGTTTGCTACATTTCGTTCGGCCACTACACCGCTTCACTTAAACAACAGATAAAAACAGACGAGAAGAAGAATGAAATGAAAAAAAAAAAAAAAATAAAAACACACACCAACATTACAACACCGTATTCGCATTCTTCCATTGAGAGATGCGATGGTATGCTACTTCGTAATTCTATTCACAGTCGATTTACGAACGAAAACTTGGACGTCGTTTTTTTTAAACTTTATTTTGTTGTACGGCAGTAGTGTGTTATTACTGGTCGTCTTCCGTGTACCTGCACCATACATTTTATTTTTTTTCTCCGTATCATAGTTCTATTGTGTGTTGTCTGTGATTACAAATTATTCTTTTTTTCCCCTCTATCTCTCGTTCTTTTGTTGTTTTGTTGTTTTCGTTTCGATCTGTATCTCTGTTTTCGATACGCATCTCAGCGTCACTCTATCGCTCTCTCGTAAACGATATGTGCGTTCAATTGGAATTAATGTAAATACACAATTTGCTGGATGTCAATGGTAAATCAGTGAATGGCAACTGTAGCGAGAATGTCAATCTTGCGAGTCGGAATGCTAAAATAATTAGCCTCGCACGTATTCATCCATTATTATTGAATTGTGCGCGGAATTCTGATCACTCCCATGATCCAACCAAATTTAAAAAAAGTATTTGGTCGGTTGCCTTTCGCTTCACTTTCTATCGTTCAGAATCAGTCAAAGCAACGAAAAAAAAGTCAGACCAACACAAAAGACATGCACACACACACTGGGTTTTTATATGTAGATTGCGCTCGTTGTTGACGTCAAATTTAATATCATCCATTTGTTTGGCAAATGGCATCATATCATTTTTATATTCCGTTAAATGAAAAAAAAAAAGAAAATCTGCGCCCAGGCCAAAAAGAAAAGAAATAAGAAAGCGGACAAAATTAATAGCAATAATATGCCTAGATTCACAAATGGTGTGACAGAGGTTAAGTGCATGATAGTTTTTTTTCCGTTGCTTCATAGTTGACTGAAACAAATGCGATGAGTGTTGAGCACTGCGATTGAAAATAAATGTGTGATAGCTTTTGAGCGGATTTTCGAGCAGCATTCACATGAATGCTACACATCGCAACCATCCAGCGGTTAATGTCGTTGTAAATTTAGACCGTGGCAACAGGAAGCCATATATATATATTTTTGCAAATAAACCGAAAGCATTTCTTACATTTTACGCACATTTTTCGGAGTTAAAAAGGAGTAAAAGCACATTTAACGCGCGATTTTATTGTTCAATGGTCAATTAAAGTCTTTTTTTGGTAATCAATATCTAGTTCAAAGTCCATAAATTCTATCATACTGCATGTAACGCTAAAAAAACGGATTAACTGTAAAATGGGTTCATTGTAAAATCACAGCGAAAGCCGTTATTTTAATGGAATAGATGATCTCTTTGAACGGATTTAAGTTTCACTCTTCAACCAATTTTAGGTGATTCATTTCAGTTAAGTTTCGTTCAATAATCGCGATGACTAATGCGAGCATTGTTTTCACTTTATTCTGTTTTGACACGCTTAAAGCGCAGATGAAAGAAATTCGTCATCCGCATTTGACGCACACAATGAATTGCCATTTATTTAGTTTTCGAAAAGCAAATATTTTTCAGAAACATTAAATATTTATTACAAATAAAAATGCTGAATCTGCGTAAAATAAATAATAAATGACTTCGAGCAGAACGGAATAGCGTATTTGCGATACATTCGCATCCGCGTATTTTCATCCAAATAAAATGTCATTTTGAAAATAACATCACATTTATCGAGTATTTTGAAGTCGGTGGAATGAACCCAGAAACAAAATAAAATACACACAAAAAGTGTTTTATTTGTTTGTTCACAAAAACTTCAATTGTTGACACACTCTCTCGAAATGCTTCCGCATTTGATGATGATAAACAGAATAATAATAAATGCAGAACAACGCCAGACATTCTTTTGATAAAAATCTTTACGAATGGCAAAGTAAGTAAATTGATGGCAATGGGTAAAATGCGCTGTTCACAGAGCCGAAAACAGCGAGCGAGCGAGTGAGAGAGAGAGAGTCGGGCATCGTCACATATGAACTGAGTTTCACATTGACCCGAGTCAATATCTGCGTGTTCACAGCACATCACTTTGTCCGATGGGTTGATTGTGTGGTGAACAAACAAAGGCGTGTTGTAGGCTTGGATTTAAGTCGCGCTATTGACAAAACGGTTTTCATTCATAAATATGAAACGCAAGAGAGCAAGAGGGAAAAAAATGAAACAACACGCTAGCAAAATATGGTCTTTATTTTCACGAGCAAACAGCAGCTAAACAAACCGAAAATCCAAGAGAAACACGATTGCGGCGGCTTTGTAAAACTCTTTGTATGTGCGAGCGCGCCAATAAAAGTTATGCAATAGTTCCGTTTGTTTATCGGAATGTCGGTTAGACTCTCTTTGGTTTCAGTCTGTGTGTACAAATACGGTTGGATACATACGAGTCTATCGAGGATAGAAAAAAAAGGTTAGTCAGAGAGTTTTTTTCATTTTCAAGCGAAGCCATTTTCCCTCCCAAAATGCGTTCCATTCCATCAGAATTCATATTTCAAACATATTTAAATATTTTGGTGATACCTTGTCAAAGCGACATGCCTACACAAAATGTGTCGCCGCAAATGAAAACAACCAAATTATCACAACAATTGCCATTTAAAATTCATTTTAACACTTTAATATTGGGGCAAATTTGGTCAAAACCTATTATTATTTATGAACAATGACAAAAATAGAATCGACTCTGATCCGCACCATATATTTGACAACGGAATTTTAACAATGAAACACGGAGCACATCACTTTTTATGTCGCGCCACTCAATTTCTTAACGCTGCGCACGCCGTGCTCTCTGCTCCGAAACCCATTCGAAATCATGAGTTTTTATGACATAATAGACAAAACAACTTCATTCAAGTCAAATATCACAATTACCCAGCACAAAATGTAGAGAATTATTCATTTTGTTTACATGTGAGGTGCGTTGCGATGCGGCGCAAGACTCTTAATCTTCCCTTGCATCGTGTACAATGTACATACACATATGTCTTACGCTAAATGAACAACTGTGTTCACAATTTTTGCTCTTTGCATCTTTGCTCAGTTTAATTTTAAAGAAGAAGAAAAAGGCAATGTAATGGAAAACACATATATTCTCTGTTCATCTTACACGCCTCGAACCAGCTAAATAAACAAAACTGTTTGTGCAAAATGAAAATGCCAGACGCATCGACGGAATGTTCGCAGAAAATACTGAAAAAAAGGAACAGCAAAAACAAAAATGCAAAATACACTCATTTGCTTGCTTCATAGTCACATGTAATATGATGATCACCGGTAACGGGAGAGGAAAAAACGCACATCAAATTGAAACACTCGTTCGGCAAACAACAATTGTTTCTCGTTTTTTTTTGTTAGTATTTTCTTTCTTTCGTTTCCAAGGTGAATTCCAAATGCGAAAGCAACAGTAAATATTATTTGAATTTTCGCTTTGTTCCATCATGCCACATCGTTCAGTCAACACAGAGGAAAAAAAACTGCACCCAACCAACTCATTTAGTTGGAATGTCTTCTGACTGCTTCGTTTTGTAGTGAAAAAAATGGTGGAGATAGAACCACTGAGCAAAAAACCGCTTTTGAAATTATCTCTCTATCTGTGTGCATGTACAATTCACTGAATCGTACGGGGTATTACAAAATGTGGTACACTTGTGCCGTCGACGCTGCGCCACAACATACACACACACCATATCCCCATGGTAAACATAGAAAAAGTGATGATGGGCGATGGCTCTTAGTACGGATGCCGATATGCTACGTAATTTGCTACACTTTTGGTCCGGGTTGGGAACTATAGTAAAACAATTATTTCATAACCATGATATGGCTGCTATCGGCTTGGTATAATTAGTAAAAGGAATGGGAATTGCTGCATATGTTTTTTCCTGGCTATATGCGCGCGGCAGCCAACGTGGCATAACATAGTTCGCCTCTTTATTATTATTTTTTTGCAACATTCAACAATAATGAAAACGATATTTCTTTCTATTTTAATTAAAATTTATCGATTGAACGGAAACCATTTTATTTTCAGTGTTTAAATGCGGGACTCTTTTTTT